GAGAGAGAGAGAGAGAGAGAGAGAGGCAGTATTCAATATTGCAAGATATGCACTATATACGTAAAAGAACAGAATAATATGAGATATTATTTTATGATACATTGCATACATAACGTGATTATATCGAGAGAGAGAGAGAGAGAGAGAGAGAGAGAGAGAAAGAGAGAGAGAGAGATTAATTATCCTATTCCTTTTTTCATCTGTTATTTATACATATATAAGGCGAGACATTTTTCATATTTTTTAATCTGATGTAGATCAAAGATGTATCAGATTAATTAATATACTTGTAATCATTTAAATATTTACTAAATATTAAATATTTGATTAAAATTGATGAGCACGCGCACACATATGCATACGCGGACATACACTAACATTTTATTGTATACGACTAAACATTTATAAATAAAAATAAATTAATAATGTATCATATAGTATTTTATATGTGGATAAATTATTATATTTATACTTAACGTCCGATTAAATTATCTTAATATAACATAATATAATCTCATGATTTTAAGAAATATTATGCATGTAAGTTTTGTTAGACATAATACAGTCTTCTACATTTGTACTCTCTTTATGAGATACATATAATTATAAACATAACACTTTTTGCGCGCGCGCGCAAAAGGATTGTCCTTATTTGTCTACTTTCAAATTTTTTCCGTGGAACTCTCCAGTATATTTCTAATCGACAAAAAATAATTTCTGCCAAATTTCCGCTTGGACAATGTGAATGCCCCCAACTTATTAAACATTTGAGTTCCTTGTATTAAACTTTCTATACTGACAACATTGGTTTTTAAAGCATATTTTCTATAAAAAAGGTTTTTCTTTTTTTTAACATGTTTGTCTTGCTTTTCTGCATTGTTTTAGACCTTATACATCTCATTTAAACAATTAAATGAATTGCGACAAAAAAATAGTTGCATTTTATAATGTTGACCCATCTTTAATGGTATCCTATTTTACATAACTACTGTAACTGTATTTTTATTTCTTTATTATTTTTATCTTTATACTTATTTATTCATTTATTTTATAGAATGACTTCATTAACTATACAATCTTTTTTTTTATTTCTATATTAATATTTATTTAATTGCTTATTTACCTATTTATTACTTTAATTAGATTTAATAAAATTATAATATATTTACATAATAATAATTGTTTATAATTGTAATTATTAATCATTGGCATCACCTTGAATAATTTCTACTCAAGTGTCACGCAGGACTCGATGCAGGGCTACATTCCAAAACTTTAGTCGGTTAACCAAAACTCTATTGTTTACGTCACGTTAACTGTAGATTAACTAACTATTTTAATTTAGTTACCATAAAAATTTTGAAATGAAGCCTAGGTATCATTTTATCCTTGTTCACCGCGCGCGCAAATTTTACACAAGGATAAAATGATCTAAAGAGCATGTGGAAGGAAACGTGTCTCAGAATGGGAAGGTTTGGAGGTTTTCCTATTAGTTGTAAGTCAGCATGGTGGTAGGAAACTTCATGGAATAATGACAATAGTGGGGCAACACTAGATAACGAGAACGTAATAATAGATAGACGAAAATAATGAGTGACTTCGAGGTTTAATGGTTTATATGAAAATGTAAAATAGTCACGAACCCGTTATTAAATCAAACTCAAGTTTCACAGACTTTCTTTAAGATTTGGAATTATTCAAGGGTGTGCCAATAACTAATGATTATATAATTAATTAATTAATATTATATAATTGTGATATATATATATATATATATATATATATATATAAATGTAATGTAAAAAATCGCTTTATTAATAAAAACATAAAATTCATCATGTTTTAAACTCATTTAAAAACGTCCCTCAAACGTATTATTAACACTTGTAGTTCATGGAACATTTTTTCCAGTTCGAGTAATTAAAAAATGCAATTTATTAATATTTTTATTTTTTAGTCATTAACAATTCACCTAATTGTTTAAATGTCATATATAAGGTCTCAAGAATGCAGAAAAACAAGACACATGTTAAAATAAGGAAAAGTAATTCCTCTAGGCCAATTTTTTTGTTGTTGGAAAATATGCTTTAAAAACTAATGTTGATATGTATAGAAAGTTTAATACAAGAGACTTCAAATATTTAACAAAGGGCACAATTTCCGTTGTCCAATCGAGCTGAAATTTGGCAGGGATTATTTCTTTATGAATTGAAACCATTCTGGAGAAGTGTCACGCAAAGAATTCGAGCAAAAAATTTTGATTAAGAATAAATAAGGACCACTCTAATACACTTCTTACAATCACCTTTATAAGAAATGCTCATCAATTGAGCACTTCTTACAAAGGTAAGCAACTCCATATTACTGAAATACAAATATGATAATTATAACTTGGAAACAAATCTAATCAAATCTAAACGAGGCACATGTTTATATGAACTTTTTTGAATGCTTTGTGCCTCCTGTGAGGACCAATGAAGTGGGTCCCACATATTAGGAATCACCTTGTATGTACATACTAGGGTAATCCTTGTTTACTCTTTGATTAAAATTTATATACAAATATATATAATCAGATCTGTTATAAAAATTTGTAATATGATTAACAAAGTACCACACTCTTAACAAGAAATGACAACTGCATGCGGTCACACTTTGATTTGACATGTAATTATGAAACATAAAACTTTGTACAAGATATAACTATTTTCATCGCGTTTTTTAAATATTACGGCATTATCTATTATATTACTATATTATGTGAATCTGTTTATCATTGTTTTAATTTTATATATATATATATATATATATATATATATATATATATTACATCGAAATAATACAACATAAACATTGACAAAAAATACTTACTGATTGATGACTGGGGCTGCGAACTAGAGACGTTGGTTGGAAACTGTTGTTGCAAAGCAGCCTCGAGATTAGTGGCTTGCAGTTCCACAGATTCTTGCGATGGTGTATTAGGAGCAATTGGTGATTGTACAGTTTTAGCCTGAGAAGATACGTGACTTGCAATTTGCTGCGTCTCAATTTTCGACTGATCGGTTGGTGTAGTGGTTTGTCCAGCATTTTGACTGGAAGGCCGATACGTTTGTCTTTTGGCGTAACCGGTTTCATTTTTAAAATTCATTACTGCATTACGTAAAAATCGATTTGGTATAAGAGTTTCCGGCGATACATCTTTCTCATTACAATCCGGACATTCATGTTCTTCGGATTCTAACAAAAATGTACGAATACCTGTTATAAAAAAAGGATATGTATGTAAATGTAATGTGGCTCTGTACATGTAAAGAGACGTAGACATTAATAATTGATAACTTGATGATAAGATTTACATTCATCACAAAAGGAATTTCCACAACATGGAATCATCACTGCATCTGTTAGAAGATCTTTGCAGATATTGCATAACAAATCCTCTGGTATCTCTGGCTTCTCTGCTACAGGTTCTGGATCTTGCGAAAATGGTGGTCGTTCTTTTTTACCTTCCTTATAAGCTTGACTAAAAGGAGCAAAAGTAAACAATGATTATAAATACATTATGTTACATATATTACATTTTAAATTTTGTAAGAAATAAAAGATTTACTGATCAATAGCAGGAACAGCATAGTGCCCTGTAGGTGTCATCATAGCGCCAGGTACTAAAGGTCCCTCAACTGGTACCATAAAACTTCTGGGAATACCTGTGCTCTTTTTAATTTCAATCGGCTCCTGATTTGTGCCCAATGGACAATTTTTTATCCAATGTCCAGGTTGATGGCATTTGTAACAACGATAATTTGCAGGTACATCGCCAGTCTGATTAGCTCCACGAATTTTCATATAACTAACAAAACGTTTAAATATATATTAGACTTTTTCATTTTGGTTATACGTTATTATAAGTTTGGCTCATGTAAAATTTCATCACATCTCTGTCAATAAATCAATATAAAATTGTGTGTACTTTGATGGATCATAGTCTTGAGTTGATTGTGTCATCATCGCCCGGATCTTATCCTCCTCTGAGCCATCTAATCTCGTAAGATCCACAGCTTTGCCTAAATTAGCTTCATCTTTTACATTACTAAACGGAGGAGTTTCGTTTCGATCCCAAGAACGTTTTTGTTGTACTGTCAATGGAACTCTGGCGACAATAAGACTGGTATTTTTTGCAATTAGTGCATTATCATCCGTATAATCTAGAGTAGAGAATATCATTACTGAGTATTATCAATTATGTGTGATTAGTCGAATATAGTATAATTTTATAAGATAGAAGAAAAAAGAATTTCTTCAAAAAATTGAGATATTTGCCTTCCTTTGTTTGTGCATTTGTAATTTGCAAATCAAAATCTGTATTTTTGCCGATACGTTTTTGGTGAAATATAGCCTTTTTCAAATCTGCCACTGAAATATGCAATCCATCAAACGACACAGTGTCATAATCCAAAGTAGATTTAAATTTGTAGTGTACTGACATCGTTGCTACTTAAATAACCTAAAAATGCATATAAAAAATCGTCAATGAGTATAATAATGTGGATATGAAGTTAGTTAGGCATCGGAGCAAAAAGTTTTATCTTAGTCTTGTTAGCGTATAGGAATAAAATCTAGACTATCCAATGTGAAGAAATCAATGATAAAAATTCCATTCCGCCAAGAATACATGCGTGTCATGTCATTGTTACACAGTCACATATGCACGTTTCATCGGACTTATTCTCTATACTAGGTATACATCGAGGATGCAGCCATGCAGCTCTCGGTATCCTCAATATAACCTATATAAGTTCCTTAAAATTCTTACTATAAAATTAAAAAATCTTATAAAAGATATAAGAATAAACATACTTACCACCTCGCAAGGACGCCAAGGACGACCGACGACGAGGAAATCGCATAGGGTGCAAAGGGTGACTGTGTTCCGAGATGAGGAAAATGTTCCGCAAAAAGACGACCTCGCTTCAATGATTAGGTTAAATCGAATGACGATGTATGCATGTGGCATACATACAACACGACATACGACATATGTACTATAAAGGCTATGAAGACGTCAATGTTCGCGGTGTATTCCACTATTTTTCCTGCACTTACTTATTATCGGCGGATCATAGTATTGTATACGAACGAGCGGAACGAGACAAGTGCAATGTATGTGCTCTCTGCCGTCTGCGTGACGTGACGTAGCGACAGTAGTTGTGTAACGCTAAAATACAAACGGCACCGTCAAGCGGCGGTCGGTCAACACCGCTTCGAGAGAATTGAGAAGAGGCACGTATGTAGTACTGTGTGCCGCGCGCGCGCGCGCGCGCGAGCTATGAAACGTAGTGCGCGGCGATTTAATTATGTTGCACGACCAACGCGCCGAGCTTCGCCAATGTCAGGAACCGAACCATGTCTCTCCACTTCGTTATCGTTTACCAACGGTAATCTGCGGTAACCTACGATGAACAGCGATGAGCAGCATTTCCTGCCATTCTTACCACCCTTGTCTAAAAACTTAAAACGCGAAGCTACAAAGAGACAAGAGAGTACGAAGCACCAAAGATTATGCACATCGTGACAGAGAGGAGAGCATGGTCCACGTAGAGTCCTAGATTATCAGAGAAGCGCGACCGGCTTATGGCAGTATCGCAAAAGTACTAGAAAATATTAAAAATGGCGTCGAATGGCCAATCATAAGTTTGATTTATTCGGCAGCCATTTATAATAGCGATAAATCAATCTTATGATTGGCCATTTGCGTGTCCAATCAGGACTCGTAACACCGGTCGCGCTTCTCTGATAATCTAGGACTCTAGGTCCACGGAGCATGAATCCCTAAGGGTGCGTTTCCACTGAGCGCGTCATTCGAATTGACCAATCAAAACATCCCACTTTAATGCGTAATTTGCCGCGCAATTCGGGATTTCATACAAAGGAAGATTGTTTTATCTCTAGAATGTCGAGTAACTTAATCGATGAGTCGCGCGGCAAATAATGCAATAAAATGGAATATTTTGGTTGATTAATTTGTGACGCGCTCAATGGGAACGCACCCACTTTTTTCGCGCGGCGAAAATTATATTACCGGGCAAACGAGACGTTGATTGGCTACCGCGGTATTCCCTAGCCAACTTCCGCCGCGCGCGCGACAAGGCGTGCGGTGTCGTGCATCTAGTATTATTCTCTGTTCCCTATTCTTTTCATTTTGCGCAGGGGTGCGTTCGGATTCCTTCCTTAGTATGTGAAGTGTTGTGTGACCGGTGAGAGTGGGGTCTAGTTATTGAAAGACACTCAGATGACAGGGAATCCGAACGGTGATTGGAGCCAGGAGGGTACATGAACGGTGGGTGGTGGTGGCCATTCAATATGGCCGATTAAAACGTCATTTTTTTGAAAATTTATTTTTTTTTAAATTGTTAAAATTTGTTTAATTAAAATGTAATTTTGTATAAATGTTATTGGAAGATATATGGAGTTTAATACGCAGCGCGCGCGAAGCGTCATTTTTTGAAAATTTATTTTTTATCAAAAATTGTTAAAATTTGTTTAATTAAAATGTAAATTAGTGTAAATGTTATTGGAAGATGTAAGGGATTTAGTACGCAGCGCGCGTTTGTTATGTACTAATCATATCAAATTATGTAATTATCTGCATCAAATTATATTAAAAAATTGCATCGATATATGCAACTTATTTAAGCAATTAAGATTAGAAACTTCCTAACTTTAAATTTAAAGGAAACAAAAAAGCATACTCGTAAAATAGATATATGTTTAAAACATAAAAAATAATTGATAAGAGAAATTATTTTATGATTAATATGAATATTTGAAATTCAGAGATATTTATTATCATACATAATCTATATTTTATTGAATTATCTGCATAAACATTGTTTCAAGGTTTCTAAATTGTACTTTTAAGCCTTCCACATTTATTGTATCTATATCAGATACTATGGGTAAAAGACAGTGAATTTTCAAGTATGATATTTCTGAAAATACATATTGTTTTCTAGAATGTCTTCTTTTTAAACTCATATTGTGTGTGTGTGTGTGTGTGTGTGTGTATGTGTGTGTATGTGTGTGTGTGAAATAAAAAATTAAAATATCTTGATTTTTTCCAATACTCTCCCACGATAGATTAATCTGATAGAAACCTCATTATTTCAGAAAGACATGACATATACATATCAAATAATATATATAGATACAGATAATATGGTATATATTCGCAAAATGTAAAAGAAACCCATATTATTAAGAATGTGGGTTTCTTTTACATTTTGCCAATATATTCCATATTATCTGTACTACTATTCATCATTATTGGCTAGTCTCATCAACTAATGTATCTTTTTTTCTAACAATGTCCTCAAGATTTCAAAAATAAATTAAATAAAAAACAAATAGATAGGAACAATTAAGTTAAATTAATACACACACCTTCCATTATTTGTAATATTCTTATAAATGTTAGAATTGTACACGAAATTTATAGTAAATACATCGTGTATTAACGTAACATATTAAATATATTTATGTAAATTGTAGATAAATATACATGTTATCCTAAGCTACATAATATAAATAATTAGAGGTAAATTTTTGACTCTTTGTACAATACATATGAGATATATATTACTTTATATTTATTTACTCACATGTCAAAAAAAAATGTAAGAAATATCAACTCGAAACTATGTTTATATCCCAAGTATCACAAATTCGAATTGAGACAATTCTTTCTATACTTTTCTCTTTAAAATGTAAAATTACATTTTTTACGTTTTTCTGGACAATTCCTGATAAACAGAATTTTCTCAAGATGTCTAAAACTTTCATTTCTATAGAGAATTAAGTTCGAATGTAGAATTTTTATATCAAAAATTTCTTTTTACAGAATGAATTTATTAAATAGCTATAGCGCAATTGCTGTTAAATTCTTGCGCAACATAATTCTTTCAGTCTATGCATATTTTTATAATACAAATAATTTTTTTATAAGTTTAATAAAAATCTCGACACCTATTATCTCATAAATAATATAAAACATTCTATATAAACATTCTCTATATTGGACAATACAATACACAAATCGTAAAAACAACGTCTCTAACTGTTTAAAATTTCAAAGAAGAATAATCTACAGTATAATATTGTTGCATATCTGTAAACTAAAAATTAATAATCCGACTTATTAAATCAATAATGTGTAATTCGTTTATCTTTCATACAGTACAAATATAATTCAATATACAAACGGTTTGGCAATATTCAGCTCTACTTATTTTTTTTAAAGCTGTAATTTTATTCATTGCTGTATCAAAATTTTATAATCTTATATCTCTTTTTTTACTGTATATTAATATGTATAATTTAAAAATACACTGTTTATACATATCACAACTTAATGAAAAAAGCGATAGTCTTATGCAATTATACATATGCATTCTAAATTTTCCATAAAATAACATTTCGTAAGATAGATCTACCTATCGCACGTCCACGTAGCTGATCACAATAAATAAGCACAGTTATATCTTTAGATACGATTATTCGTCATGCTCATTGTTATAAACAAATACAACATTATTAATTGTATAGAACATAAAACACGCACACCTCCCCCCCTGTCTCCCACACACGCACGCACGCACGCACGCCCACACCACACACACACACACACGCACACGCACGCACGCGCGCGCGCGCGCGCACACACACACACACACACACACACACAAAAGTCAAAGTGTAAAAATACATCTTTGATAATAAATGTGTACTTTGTTCTTATCAAACAAATACATAATAATATGTAATTTGCTGCTAGCACATTAAAATCTATAATATAGATTTTTCAGGTATTTTTTACACGCATCCCTCCCCCCCTTCCCACACATACATACACACGCGCGCGCGCGTGCTCACACAAAACGTACACGCGTATTAAATACTACACAAAATCAGCTATATTTACATTATAGGAAGTAGAAAACCGAATACAAACAAAATGATGCAATAACAAATGTTAATGTTAAAAATGGATAATAATAATTAGAAGAATCGCTTCTTCTATTGTATCATACTGATAAGAACAAAATATCGCAGAATAATGTGAGATGATCCTATGTTAAAAGATCAGATTTAAGATAATACCTTTCGCTTTTGTCATTTTTCTGTTGAACATTAGCTTCGTCGATAAAAGAACATTAAGCTTTGTCGATAGAAGTATCTTTCATAATGTCATCTTTAGTGATATTTTGGTTCATTTGGTCGTTTTCGTACTCTACAAAGTCATCGAATAAACTTGGCCATGCTTCCGCATCATCGTAAGCACCAAGATCGTCTCCGATGCTCTCGGCAAAGTTTAGAAACATATTCCAAGTGTCCCTAGGTATTCCCCGGATGTGATGACATTCTAGAAAGTTTAGCCATTTCGTTAAGAGCGGAGGTTCACGTATCGTGAAGACGAGTCTCCAAAGATCGATCGCCATATCAGCTGGTAAGATTCTTTGACCAGACGTCACGTCGAGGCCAAATCGGAATGTAAATCGATAGAGATCCTTGAACAAATCACTATTGATCGTTAATTCTTGAACAATCTCAGGCAATCGCGCCTGTATACCACGTATACTATCGACCTTCATCGCTTTTAAACCCGTGACAAATTCCTGGCGTGTGAATTGGCACATTTGCTCCGCATTTAACTTCCATGCAAGCACAAGTACTTTAAATTCATCAGGTGATAATTGTAAATCATCACAGAGTCTTTCTATACCATCAGCTAATATTGCATCTTCATGAGGATCCTTAAAAGCAAACATACACGGAAAAAAATAATTAGAACGCGATATAATATTCAAATAATCTTTAATAATCTTAAACTGTGTGTGTGTGTGTAATTTTTTTCGCTAGAATGGTCTCTGAAATCTTAATTTTCTTTTTAGATAGAAGCGTCTCTATTCTCTTTTTCGATGTGTACCTCTAATTATAAATAGAAGTCAGCGCGCGTGTATTCTGTATGCTATACCTTGTATTGGTCGAAAAGAGCGTTTAGTTTGCTCTCTGATGGTTCCCTTTGCTGCCTATGTTCGGTACTTAAATTAAGACCCGACGATGTACTGGATCGTCCTAATGGCTGTAATCGTGCATAGAACCCTCGCGATAAACGCAGGTTACTTTGTACATTAGGTACAGATCCACAATTATCCGAGCCTACATTATTAAACGTAGGTAATGTACTTGTAGACTTCCTGTTCCCATTTGCATGTGTTTCAGGCACAAAAGAACTGGATTGTTGGCAAGAATTTGGGAACAAACCTCTAAGTTCCATCGTTTCTATAAAAGATAATCAAAATAATTTATATAGCGCAAAAGAAGGTTATACTTGGAACTGAACAAATTAACAATTAAACAATATTGTGCATATCATTTTGTATATATAGTTTCTATTAAAGAAACAAATCTAAAATGTAATTATACCTATATGGGAGAAGGAAAAAAAATTTCACATATATCTACCGTCTTTATGCTCCAATACAATGGCGTGATCAGTGCTGGTCGATGGTGGAAGTGGCACCTTGAAGCACGAAAAACAGTTTCCCATTGATGCTGACCGTACTTGACATCAAAGACAATTATGCCATGCATCAGTAATTCAGTCTTACATTGGCAGTCTTGATGGAAAGCTGAAAAATGATGCAATTACTTTTGTTTATTTATTTTTTACTTATGTTCCATATTAAATCTAACATATTTGTGTTTTATTGCGTATGCAATGAAACTTGTCTTCATTAAGTGCAGATGTTGAAGAAACCTAAGATTTGATGTATGTGGAGACTCATTGCAATGTGTGTGTGTGTCGACGGATAAAAATATTGAATCACTGCTGTACAAGACATGAAAAATTGCCTCTTAGCTAGCATAATCTTCGAGAAACCTCGTCAACATTAAAATAGGTATGTAGATACAATGAAAACAAATTTGCAGAAAGGCACAAGAAGGCACAAGGATGTGCAGTCAAAGAAGTTAAGCTCTACTTGGCCTCCTTGGTCAAGGAAGGAGGGTGTGTGTGTGTGTGTGTGTGTGTGTGAGGCGCGATATAAAACTAGATGGTGACAATACCTTATTGTTACATATCTGTTGTGATTCCTCGATCCTCGTTTGTGGCATATGAGACGTGTCGTGAGACGATACGTCGCCTTGCCCGCATTCATTCATTGATCCTTGCGGAATAGCGAGAGAAGCGGAGGAATGCTCCGAAAAGTGCTCTTGCGCGCGTGTTCGTTCGTTCGTTCGTTTGTTCGTTCTTCCTAAAATTGTCCTCGCGACGGATCAATGACGAAAGGCCGCCGCGTCACTCCTCATGTCCGCTATTTTTTATAGAACATTTTTCCTAGCCGAAGACGAACGCCGGGCGGTGGAATTCAGTCTGGTGTAGCCGAGCCTGCGACGATGTCATTTGCGACGATGTCGTAACCTCGTGAAACTAGTATGCGACAACAACGGCGTCGACGACAACAGCAGCGGAGGCCGGATGGATTTCATTCCAAGCGTGCGAGACGGTCATTCAGACCGTGATCGCAACAGCGCGGCCACGGTCGCGCAATCAGCTGCGGCAGTCGATGCAACCCAACAACGCGACACCAGAGAGAAGCGATGATGTTGACTGATGCTGATACAACGCTGTGCTGTGACGCACTCACCACCACCTCATCTCGAGCAAAAAGCACCGAGAGCGACACGACAGGAGAATGACTGGCCGCGACGAAGGCCAAACTCCAACTCCAGATTCGAAAATCCGTTTAATTCGTTCCTCGCAATTCCTCGTTCCTCGCACGACGTGCTCGTGTCACTTCACTACTGCCAATACTGCCACTGAGTGCCACACAGGCCCCCCCTCCACACACACCACACACCACATACACACACACACACACACACACACGGACCACAGGCGGCAGCCTCACAGCCCTCACACCTCCTCTGCTAGTCACATACAGGGTTTGAAAAAAAAAAAAAATCCTTTGACCTGCTGATTCGCGCGCGCGCGACTAGAGCTATTCGGTTTTTGTATAGAGATAAAATATTTCTATTCTAGTTGCAAAATTGCTAGAGCGATTCGTTTTTCTCATATTGGTGAGACTGGCGGGCAAGAAAACAAGAAAATATGGCAGAACTGCGCGCAAGCGCATCCATCAGCGCGCAGTGAGACCATCGACGACCACGACGTCCACGACCACTCATAAAAATGCGGTCGAGATTGTCGTGGGAAAGGTGTTATTGCGGTATCACGAATCGAAATCACCAAACGGAATCACGTGGCAAAGAGGATTGAAGTCTTTTCTCCATTGTTTCGATAATTGACGATCACAGTCCTTTCTGTACGCACTACCCTGGCCACTACTTACGTACTACTATCGGTCTCTATTTTCAAAGCATCTTTCCGGTATGTAAATCTGGATCTTATCGTGTGACGAAACGGAATAAACAAATATTTGCCAGATTGATCAAGCGAGAATCGTCACCGTTGACGTTTACGAGATACCCTTTTTTTAGTCTGTTTAAACGACTGCTTAAACCATTTCTCTCAAATATATATTTTTGCAATACTTAATGTTTAATTGCAAATTTATAATTGAACAAACGAAAGAATAACATGTAATATTTTATCCCACTTTCCTTTCGAACAATAGGTATTGCATCATATCGTGCAAGATTTTGATTTTTTGTACATTTCTTGAACCTATATGGAACGTGTACTTAATTCGCATACATGAACGTTTAAAATAAATAATTTGTACTTAAATAAAACGTTTGTAATTTTACGCCTCTAGAAATTTACATTCCAAGTGATAATTATTTACAATTAGTCACATTAACCCAAAATTCGTTTCGTAATAAGCTGTAATTTTTGATTAAAATTCGATAACATAAGGACTTTTATCGTAAAAAAGATTACGAATGCCTGGGAGATGATAAAAATTTTACGCAGTTAAATTCACTTTTAAGCATTTAAATCTGTAATTATAATTTATCACCTCTTAGACTCAATTTGTGACTTGTGACAATTTGGGATAATCTCCATAACCTACAAAGTCTTCTATCGGCAATGTTTACACCTACATATATACCTAATTACATTTAGTTGGCAATCTACATCCCATATTCGACCTAAACACGTAGATCGCGATGGTGTAAACTATTTATTGTGTTTAGGTAAAATTTAGATAAATAAGACTTGTAGGTCGCTGACTAAACGCACAAGTGTACCCACAGCTATTGTTACATTATTTATTCTATTGTATGTACATACATACACACCTATCCATTTTTAATTTGTAAATATAAACACAAATAATACAAGAAGCTATATTTTATGCAGTAATGTTAAATAAATATTCCTTTTGGTTTTTTTCTACAATGGTATATTTTTTTATATTAATATTGAATATTTTTCAAGTCAAATATGTGCAAAAAAATAACATATGTACTTATTTATGTTGCATACATATTTCAAAAAATATCTAGTATAGATGCAATACTAATAATATTCTTCATTACTAATATCTCAGATTTGATTGACAGATAATACACCAAGATGCCAAAATTACCACGCATCACTAGATCCTTGCGGATGTTTACTTCTCTAGAGTACAGGGGGGAAACATTAGACCATGAACTGAATGACTTGCTGAAGAAAAGACAGGAACGAACAAAAAGATTAAAAAGGTAGATATTTCAAAAATTGTAACAAGTATTCATCGAGTTATGGTATTTAATGTAGCTTGTCGATTTATATAAATTTTACATTTGTTAGCAATATTATAGACACAATATGTGCGATATTTTCTTGCGACATGCGTGCGCACACAAATACGCACACATACATTTGTACATGTATATCTTGATATAATACATATTAGATATTTATCACATTTTAGCAGTCTTGATTGGCATAATACATTTAAAAGTGCATCTAAAAATTTTATGGCACATCTGCTAGCATTGAGAAATATTGTGCAACAAGTTTTAGGTAAGGTATAATAGATAGTAATTAAATATACTTTTATTTTTATTTTTAACAATCTTCATCTTAAATTTGATAAATATTAACGATTTAATATCGTAATATTCTGCTGGATGATATTCTATTGGTATTTTGTTGTAATAACAATTTTTATTGTGCTAAACAACTTGCAACTTGATTAAAAAATTTCAATTTTTTGTTCTAGCAAATTACTCTTCAGATGCTATTGATGAATTCACAGTTTATGCATTACGTTTATTAATTGAAGACAAAAACTTATCACGAAAAAAATATGATATACTTGGCCAAAAATCAGGACATTTATCGTATCAACATGCGGAAGCTATGATGCGGGTATGTCGTACGTTTCTATAAGTTTTATGTCGCTCAGTACATTTAACTCTTTTCTGTAGAATATTTTTTTCAATTATTTGCAATTATTATCTTACATAGATAGTCAATGCAATTCAAGAGGAATGCTGTGAAGAAGCTATAGAATTGTTATCAGAATCCAAAGCGAATGCAAATGCTCTGGCTTCACAAACTTTTGGCGCAGATATTCCTTATAATCATGCCAGAGTCATATGGCCCGATACTGTTAGACTTCACAACATGTCTGCAGACAAAATAAATTCAAATACTGATAAATTTACAATGATGATACATGAAATGAAACCTTCAACACAGAAGAAGTCTGTAGTGAGTATCTGTTAAATCTGTTTGAACAAAAGAACTCTAAGCTTAATTTTCTTTAATTCTTTACTTTTCTGAATTGCAGTTTGACAAAGCAATATTTGCAAAAGGATTGAAAAACTGTCACAAAGAGTGTAGCACAGATATGGCGTATTCAGATTTTGCAAAAGCGATAGTAGAAAAATTAGGGAATTCGCATAACGTGCAAACTGAACTGTTTGACATGTTGGGTTGCAAACACTTGGAATTTATCGAATACATTATTGAACATCAGAAGGCCATCGTGTCGACGTATTCGTGTCCAAAAGTGATCAAGAGACCGCAAGCGAGCGTGCAAGGCCCTATAATGAGTGGCCAGGTAATTGTACAATCCGAAGTGGAAAAGCAATTGTGTAAGCAAGTGCGTAAGGAGGAAAAGAAATTGAACAAAATGGCGAACAAACGAGACACTAACAGGGAAGCTGAGGAGAGAGAATTTAATTCGATTGAACTGCAAATTAAAAAACAAGAGGCACTGAAAGCCATGTGTACGCCGTTATTTCCGAGAAAAAATGCTCTCGAGAGAGGCACGACGCAGGAACAGTCGTTCCCGTTTGTATTTGATTCTAAAGCGAGCGCCAAGCAAGCGAGTGTATCAGGGCAAAAGTTATTGTTGGCCGAGGACGTTACGAGGGAGGATACCGAACATTGGGAGAAAGTACATATACCGATAGCGAGACAAGAATCTATTGACGTTGAGATAGATCCTGTATCGACATCTTCTCTAGACGAGATCGGTCGAATGGCTTTCAGTGGCATAACGTCGTTAAATAAAATTCAAAGTATAGTTTTTAATGCGGCTTACAATACCAACGAGAACTTATTGATTTGCGCCCCGACCGGAGCGGGAAAGACAAACGTGGCTATGCTGACAGTGGTGCATCAATTGAGACAGAACATTCAAGACGGACAATTGCAAAGGAATCAATTTAAAATAATCTACGTCGCGCCAATGAAGGCCCTCGCGGCGGAAATGACAGCCAACTTTAACAAAAGACTCGGTCCTCTGGGCGTGTGCGTTCGCGAGCTGACCGGCGATATGCAACTGACGAAGCAAGAGATCCAGCAGACTCAGATGATAGTGACGACGCCGGAGAAGTGGGACGTCGTGACGAGGAAAGGTACGGGCGACATTTCCCTCACTAGTATCGTGAGACTGCTCATCATCGACGAGGTGCATCTGCTGCACGGCGACAGGGGACCTGTGGTGGAGGCGCTGGTCGCGAGGACCCTGCGCCAAGTCGAGTCGTCGCAGAGCATGATCAGGATAGTCGGGCTGTCCGCCACGCTACCGAATTACGTGGACGTTGCGCGATTTTTGCGCGTCAACCCGTACAAGGGATTATTTTACTTTGACCACCGTTTCCGGCCGGTGCCGCTCAGTCAAACCTTCATCGGCGTAAAGGCCACCAAGCCGCTGCAACAGATGAATGACATGGACCTCGTGTGTTACAACAACGTCGTGGAGATGGTGCAGCAGGGCCATCAGGTCATGGTGTTCGTGCACGCGCGAAATGCCACCGTGAGGACGGCGACGGTCCTGAAGGAGCTGGCGTCGAAAAACGATACGCTCAAATATTTTCTGTCCGACGGACAGGCGAGGCATGTGAACAAAGCCTTCGCAAAGTCGCGCAGTAAGTATCTCGGTGAGTTGTTCAACAGTGGGCTGTCGGTACATCACGCTGGCTTGCTACGCGCCGACAGGAATCTGGTTGAGAAATATTTCTCCGACGGTCTAATTAAAGTGCTAGTCTGCACCGCCACGCTGGCGTGGGGCGTAAATCTGCCCGCGCATGCGGTTATCATACGCGGAACCGAGATCTACGACTCGAAGCACGGCTCGTACGTCGACCTGGGCATCCTGGATGTGTTGCAGATCTTCGGCCGCGCTGGCAGGCCGCAATTCGACAAGTCGGGACACGCGGTCATCATTACGTCGCACAGCAAGCTGTCTCACTATCTCTCACTGCTGACCAATCAAATACCGATCGAGAGCAGCTTCATCACGTATCTGGCCGATAATTTGAACGCCGAGATAGCGTTAGGCACGATATCGACCGTGACGGAAGCGGTCGAATGGTTAAGCTACACCTATCTCTATGTACGAATGAAATTGAACTTTCAGGCGTACGGCATGGACTATCAAACCGCCATGAACGACTATAATCTCGAGAAGAAGCGAAAAGAGCTCGTGGACTTCGCTGCCAAGGCACTAGACAAAGCGCAGATGATCAGATATGATGTGCGCACCGGTGATCTTAATACGACTGACTTGGGACGTATTGCCAGCCATTATTACCTCAAGTACGACACGGTCGAGATCTTCAACGAGCTTCAGAAGCCTATCATGACCGAGGCGGAGATTCTGGCGATGATATCGCGCGCTCAGGAATTCGAGCAGCTCAAGGTACGAGACGACGAGATGAACGAGTTGGATGAGCTGATGCAAGAATGCGAACTCGAGCCACACGGCGGCGTGGAGAATGTCCACGGTAAGGTCAATATATTGTTGCAAACGTTTCTGTCCAGGATTCGGGTGAACACGGCGTCATTGATATCCGATCAGGCGTATGTCACGCAGAATGCCTTACGGATAGCTAGAGCGCTCTTCGAGATCATGCTCAGGCGCAATAACGCGATAATGGCCGGACGACTATTGCAAATGGCGAAGATGTTCGAGGCGCAACAGTGGGGCTCGTCAGTGTTTACGCCGCTGCGCCAATTCGATTGCCTCTCGATGGAGATCATCAACAAGATCGAGACGCGAGGCTCGATGGAGATCTATCGGTTGCAAGAGATGGACGTGAAGGAGATCGGGATTTTTTTGCGGGACCAACGGGCGGCTGTACTAGTGAAGAGGTGTTGCGCTGAATTTCCCGCATTAGACGTAGAATATAGTTTGCAGCCCATTACACGTACCGTCCTGAGAATACGACTGAAATTGATCCCACAGTTCCGCTGGAACGATAAAGTTCACGGGAAGAATTCCCAGGCTTTCTGGATATGGATCGAGGATCCAGATCATAACTTTATTTATCATCACGAGTATTTTGTACTAACGAAAAAGATTGTCTGTCAGAATGTCGAGCAAGAACTCGTCGTTACCATACCGTTGTCTGATGCATCGTTACCGACGCAATATCTCGTGAGAGTTACGAGCGACCATTGGCTCGGTTGCGAGACCACAATTCCATTGACTTTTCACGACCTCATTCTACCAGAGACTCATCCTCCACACACGAATCTGCTGGAATTGCAGCCGTTACCGATAACCGCTCTGAAGGATCCAGACTTGGAGAGCTTGTACAGCTTTTCCCATTTCAACCCAATACAGACGCAGATCTTTCATTGTTTATATCATACGGATAACAATGTCCTCCTCGGCGCTCCAACCGGCTCGGGGAAAACCATCGCGGCGGAGGTCGCTATGTTTCGCGTTTTCAAACAGCATCCCGATCAGAAGGTCGTGTACATAGCGCCCCTGAAAGCTTTAGTCAGGGAACGGATGAACGATTGGAAGGTACGATTAGAGGAACGACTCGGTAAGAAGGTGGTGGAGCTGACCGGAGACGTGTCACCCGATATAAAGATGATAGCCGGCGCGAGTGTTATCGTTACGACGCCCGAAAAGTGGGACGGTATTAGCCGGAGCTGGCAAACGCGAAGCTACGTGAAGAAGGTGGCGCTTATAGTAATCGACGAGATTCATTTGCTGGGCGAAGATCGCGGACCAGTGCTCGAGGTGATCATCTCTCGTACCAATTTCATATCGTCTCACACGCACAACAAGGTCAGAGTCGTCGGGCTCTCGACCGCGCTGGCCAACGCGATAGATTTAGCCAACTGGCTCGGTATCAAAGATATGGGTCTCTACAATTTCCGGCCGTCTGTGAGACCCGTGCCGCTGGAGGTCCACATCAGCGGATTTCCTGGCAAACACTATTGTCCTCGGATGGCAACCATGAACAGGCCAACCTTCCAGGCGATTAGGCAACACGCACCCGCCAGTCCCTCTCTCGTATTTGTGTCCTCTCGCAGGCAAACGCGCCTCACTGCCCTGGATCTGATCGCCTATCTCGTAGCGGAGTATAATTCCAAGCAATGGTTACACATGCCGGAAGAACAAATGAACGACATTCTCGAAAATATAAATGACTCGAATCTAAAGCTCACCCTTGCCTTTGGAATTGGCCTTCATCACGCTGGTCTTCAGGACAGAGATAGGAGAACCGTGGAGGAATTATTTGTCAATAATAAGATACAGGTATGCATGTTGCAACTGCACAACAGTCATTCAACAGCTTTGTATGTATTGTTGCATTACACACGCACGCATAC